AGAACAGGCTGACTGCCAAAGTACACTGCTGAGGGGAGCAGCGGGCAGGTCAGGAGAGGTCTGCTGCGCCATGTGGATCACCTCTGGGGCAGGTGGGGATTGAACTCATACTGAAGTGGCTTTAGCTTCTCAGTGCTGTGTTTTAACCCGCTGCACCACCAGGGAGGGCCCTAATCCTGATTTTTTAATGAGTAGTTCTAAATATCAGTGGAGGGCTCATTGGAAGTTTTGATACATAAACTTATGAACTGGATGGCTGCTTGAAGTGGATGTACGGCTTCTCCTCTGTTTCTGTGGACTGGGTCTGAGGTGGGCCCTGACAACGTGTATTCTAAAAAGTTTCACTGGAACTAACGTTGCTCCTCCAAGGTCAGCACTTTGAGAAGCCACTGCCTTAAGCTAACTGTTGAGACTCTTCACCCTCAGTCATTTGAATGTCTGAATTTATTTTAGTAATGAAAATAGGTTGGTGATATGTCTTTTTTTTTCTTTTTCCAGTCAAATGTGCCCAACAGTAGACAGAAGAGTGAATTTTAAAATGTAGTAAAGATTCACAAATGCATCCGAAGGGGAATCCCACTTGCTTTCATTCTTAATTTAGTGAGACCAGGGCAGGTGTGTTATTTAAGTGTATTTTTTGTGCTCTGGTTTCACTTTTCATCTTTTTCTCTCTCAACTTTCTGAACCTCTACTTCATAAGAAATACAAATGATGTTTCTTGCATGTCACTATTCTGCCAATTTTGGGTTTTCAACACTTCTGTTTTGTTATTCCATTATGTTCAGTTAAACAACTGTTGCTTGCCTCTGACTTTCACACAAATAAGCAATGATTGTCTGTTCTCAATGTTTTATTAATGACAAATTTTATAATTTTACACACACACACTACCACATCCCCACACACAGTCACACCCATATCTAAGTAAACAGGCTTATACAGAGTACTTCATTTTAGATAAAGTACATTTTCATATTTTCTTTATTGTTTCATTTAGTAATTTGGTCATAAATTAATAAAATTATTTAATTCTTTAGAGAAAGCTCAGACCATTATAGTTAGAAACTTTACCCAAAAAGCTACTTTGCTAATAGTGTCTAATGTTGCAGTTTCCTTATGAAAAAATATATTCATTTGTGTTGTAGAAACGTTAAAACTGTAGATTTCTATCACTGCAATGTTCTTTCAGTTGTGACTTTTTTCAGTTTTGGTTTGAAAAGACTAGTGAGGAATGGGGAAAACATTGGTCTCTAAAATGGAATTGCACTTACAGGGTTGCGATTCATAACAAAAGTTAGGGAAGAGTAAAACACCTGCTTGAATTTAAAAGGTTTAGCATAGTCAGCCAAAAAATTCTTACATGAATATAATTTGGAAATGAGTCAGACCCTTAGTTTCCCATTAAATGAGGGCAGTAAGGTAGATCAGCATCAGGAGCATAGTTTGAACAGATAGAAATTAATTTTCAACCTTAAACTCCTGTGGGATTTTCTGAAATCATTATTGATTGAATCTCAGCTCCTACCTTGCAGAACAAATTGGTATGAGTTAAGGTTTAATTGCAATGACAGTTAAAAGAGATCTTTTTTTGTATACTGTTTTTTAAAAAAACAAATTGATACTGCTGGAAACGTAAAAATCAGGGAAAATATGACAAACATTTTTCATTATTAATCTTTTTGTGCTTATCTACATACCACTAGTTGTTAATTTAAGGATTTTACTCAATGTTATATTACAAATTTGGTAAAATAGATTGTGGAATTTGTTTCGAGGGGATAAATATGATAGGGCTGAATTTATAAGCACCTGATTTTTTGATGTACATTTTAATAAGAATGAATAGGGTCATTTAGCTTGACCAGAGTAATGTTAATATTGAGGAAATTATTAATTTGGCATTTTATTTTAAAATACTGTGATGGTTTAATTTTTTGAAGAACATTTAGCAAGTGAAAATGTAAATGTGAGAATCAGTGTTAACTGAAGTTGTAAAACTGTTGTCTATCTTTCCTCTATAGCCTGAGAAAAATGACAGTGAACCAGGAAGTCAGAGGATAAAACCAGAATTTGAACACGATGCAAATTTTGGACGTCGGATATCCTACCAGCACGCGGCTGTCCACATTCCCACAGACATCTATGAGGGCTGTAAGTTAAAGAATGTGGAACTGTTGGAATAATGAGTTCTTAATGAATTTCACATATGGGGGAAAAAGGAGTAAATGTGATGCTGTTTTACTTACTTATTTGTCATTTAAATTTTTGGTAAAGTCTGACCAATATGAATGAAATCTGATGTTCATAGAAGCATATATTCATGTGGCTTCATGTTGTGAATACTTTTTGCAATCTAACTTCATGTAGAACTACCTCTCTCCACCATTTACTAAGTCTACCTTCCAAATTGACATCAATAGCTTAGTAATAACATTTTTTAAAAATCAAAACTATACGCCATGTGTGCAGGTATTCATACAGATATCCTTCAGAAACTCTCAGGAGACAGACATGTATTTTAAACTCTACAGATCTAGCCACTTTTGTTTTTCAGTTTCCCTTGCGCTGTCTTTCCCTAGAATATAGGTACAAGATTCTTCACTTCCAACTTATGTTGTGTGCCCAATGTAAAGAGACATGTTAGGGAGAGGTATGAACAGTATGAACTAAAGAAATAGAAAACCACTACATGCAAGACTTAATTAACAAGGCTTCACTGTGAGGGAAGGAAGCAAGATATTTAGGAAGATAGAGGGGAGGAAGCTTGTGTCAGTGGTGTTTCTCATATACACCCTTCTGTTACCAAGGGCACAGCCAGAGAAGTCCCAGGAGGAATTCTCCATGGACACTGTGACCCAAGAAGGGAGACCCTGTGATCATGCAGGAGATCTGAGATTCCACTTGATGGTTTGCTAGGCTTTTCCCCATCAGCCCTTACCTGCCTTCTCATCCAAAGTGAATAGTACAGATTGAAAGAGCCACTTCACAGTTCTTAAAGCATATTTCCTATATTCCTGTTAGGGAGACTGCAGAGTGTATATGGTATCCACAGTGTACGTGGTAGCAGGTGTATATCCAGAATGGCCTAGATTCTGGAGCCAGATTGCCTGAGCTCAGATTTAATTTTGAAATGTAGTATTGCTTTATGAAAGTCCTTTGACTTCTCTGGACAAGTCTTTTCTTACTGTAAAATGGAATTAAGATGCATAATCTACAAGGTCACTTGAAGATATAAATGAAGTTAATAGGCCTAAATTCTCTTCATAGTGTCAAACTAATCAAGCAATTGAAATATTTGCTGCTACTATTAATGTTGAAGTTTTCTTAAACTAAGTTCAGGCACTAATACTATAAACTAGCTTTTATTTTTTTGACTGAGATTATCTATTCAAAAGGGAAATTTTAAATGCATGTGTGGTACTTTTCCTAATATAAATCTCTTCTAGCAAATTATTTTATTCTTTTTGTTTGTATTTTTAATTAAAAGTTATAGTATTTGATCCTATCACCATTTAAAATGTTAAATATTATTTAAAGTCCTAAATAGGAAAAATGTGCATAGGTGGTTCTCGTTTTACATGAGATAAATTATTTGAGTTCCTTCTAATCCAGCTCAGACTATTAATTCCAGATTCTCTTAGGAACTATGTGGGATTGAGTCACACTTGCTTTTACTTTTACTGTTATGCTCCTTTTCAAAGAGTTATCTCTGCAATTAGATTTTATAGCTATTTAGACAATAGTGAGCTGTGTGTTGTGTTTATATTTTTTCAACAAATATTTTCCACTTTATGTCAAATTTTTTTAGTAGTCAACTGTTGGCTATATCAACAAATGTGTTACTAATTTGTTGTTTTATATGGGAATTTTTTCCTTCATTTTGGCAATGTGTGAATGTCAACCAAATATTGAACTCAATCATTTTCAGTTGTAATATAGAACACTTTGTTTAAAATGCATACTTTCATGGAAGACTTAAAAGAAATTATAGCATAACCACTCAAAGGAGCTTAGTGTGACTAGAATCTTAGCTACTTACCAAGCCCTTATTTTCTCTGAGTGAAACCTTTTGTTTTTCAAGCACCAAAGAAAAGAAACATATACATATTAGTGTACTGTAGTTTAAGTCTGCTTGCTTGTTGATTTAGTAGGTGGGGAAAGTGAGATGCATGCTTGAGAGTTTGTATGGCACAGATCCCCTCTGTGTTTGACATGGAATCAAGAGTACTGGGTCACTACCCCTTTTTCTGTAGGACATGGGTGGCAGGACATGGGTATGAGTGTGACTTGGGAAGTAGGAAGCTTGATGTTACATCCTGGTCCACAGGGCACGTGGGCCAATATCAGACTCATTGTGGTGAACAGCCTGACCCATGTCCTCACACCCCAACTCCCTCCTTTCAGATAGGTGAAATATTGAATGAGTCTTTCAGCACTCTTCCTACTTGTTTTCATGAGTGAACTTTAACTCAGCTATATTATTTGGGATCAGGAATAGCCATAGGAGATAGTAACATACACTTGTAGTTTAAGAATCATTCTTTTCTTATTCTTTTGTTCCATTAAAATCACGGTCATAATTAAATCTCCATTGTTTCATGCTGGAACTAACATGCACATGATAAAAAAATATAAATCTAAGCATGACTTTTTAAAAGAACATCAATGGTCACATAGTATACATTTACCTATATTCAGTACCCTATAAAGGCATTGACTATGTCTAAATGATAGTCTTTCTAATTTAGAATACACTGTTTGGAAACATCTGTAGAGGAAGGTTTTTATAGTCCCAGAGAATAAAAAAATACTACTTTAATTACTTTGGAAATCAATAAGATAAAATATTTAAATGTTTTCAGAAGTGAAGACACATTTTGATATATGACATTTTTACTTTTTAAAGGAGAAGTTTTGTCTTTAGATTATTTATTTAGTCCCATTTATCTTAATATTGAATTATCTCTCTTTGCGGAAATCTAATCGGTATGGCTGCCCTTGCCTGACCTGTATTCCTTTAAAATTCATATCTGGTGTTGCGGACAGTGTGAGTTAGGGGCAAAGGAGTAAAATCTGAAATGTCAACAAAATCTTGAAAATTTAATAATGACTGGTATTCTTCATGAAGTTCATACAAGACTCACAGGTTGTTCTAGGTTTCTGAATTTAATAAATGTGAAAAGTGCATTTTAATTGAAGGCTTAACAGAAGGCAACAGCCTCTTTTTTCTTTTAAAAGCAAAATTGTAGCATGCCATCCTCATAAGCATCATCTATTAATTTTGCAGAGGCCTGTACCCCAGATCTTGTATGTATAAGTAAATAAAAAAAAAATTTTAAAAAATGAAAGAAGGAGAAACAACAGGCAGTCCCTGGGTTGGCTATGGAGAGCTGATATTTTAAAATATATCTCAGAAGGTCACAGATTTTCACAGGCTTGGTGAGTATGAGAACCAAAATCATCTGGTTTAAACGGTGTAGGCAGAGAGAACAAAAAGTTCAAAGATCCTACGCTGAAATATCTTGGGTTGAATAGCAGAAAGACTTGATGGCCAGAACAGCGTGAGCAAGGGAAAAGAGAGGGGGTGTAACTGCTGAGAACTTAGGTTGTCACAGCCTTGTGGAAAATTAGTCTTTGCAGAATAACAAAATTCCATAAACTGAGTGGCTTTTAAAAAGTAGCTTAAAAGCATTGCTGCTCACTGGGTATAGCAAGGAAGTAGTGAGAACATTGGAGGCAAGACTGAAATAGTAATTAGATTACAATCATTTGATCATTTTAAGAATGTTGACGAAGAGAAGCAATTCTACTTCTGGTGTCATTTCACTCTTTCTCTAGTGATGTTTCTAGTGCATTTCATAGATAGTGATATGGTATTCCTCTTCTGATAGGAAAGTGTTGGCTACATTTGAAACCAATTGTTAAAGATAGATTTTCCTTCTGATTCCATGAATACTAGCCCCTTAATACATTTTGGATTATAGACAAATAAACCAATCAGTAATTACATTTTTACTGATTTTGCAAATTGCTGTGGACAGAATTGTATCCCTACCTACCCTCTCCTGCCTCCCAATCCATGTGTTGAAACTTGAAACCCTCCATGTGCTTTTATTTGCATAGGGCCTCTGGGAAGTAATTAAGGTTAAATGTGATCCTGAGTTTTGGGAGATTATGGTAGGACTGGTAGGGTCTTGCAGAACTGGTGATGTTTTAGCACACACAGAGGAAAAGTCCCATGAGGACACAGCAGAAGGCTGCTGTCTAAGAAAACAGTTTCACCAGGAACTGAACCAGCAGGCATCTTGATCTTGTACTTGCCAGTCTCTAGAACTATGGAGAAAAAATATATTTTTAATAATATAATAGTTTATTTTTACATCATTTTGTGCATTTTTCCATCTCAGTTGTAATCCCTGCAGGCTTCCCATCACCAAATCACCCATGTGCCATCACCATAGTCCAGTGCATTTCCCTCCCCCCACTGTTTTTGATCCCATTCCCCACTCCACCCCCACAAAATGTCTGTGGTATAGAGTGGTTCATTATTATTATTAGAAAAAAAAATTTTTTTTAAGTTACCTAGTCTGTTATTTTGTGTTGACAATCTGAGTTAAGATATAAGTGTTTCCAGAGGAAAATTTGCTGTAAGTTTAAACTCAGGTTTAAATGAAGAAATAGAAAACAAACCTGAAAAAGTAACATATTTCATTTTTTATAGTGATATATAATATTTAGGAATAGTCAACTGTGACATTTGAATTTGCAAGATCTTTTTTTGCATTTTAATACAGAATTCTGAATTCTGTAATTCACCTTGAAGTGATTGAACTCTAAAAATTAATCAATACTTATCTAATCAACAGATAGCCATAAATTTGTACTTTTAGACATAAATAGTAAACATACTTATGTTTCATGGAGAATTCCCTCAGTTACTACAGTGGTTACCAAGGTGCCATAGGAATAGCAGTTGAATTTTATAATTACTGAAGTATTGTTTTTTTTATTTTTCAGAAACAGAATAAACTGTAATAACTTGCTTATCTAGTCACTTGATCACAGTGACTTGTGTACAAGATTGTGCTGAACTTACTTTGGACACTTTCTTACTAGTTGTGCAGATAATACTGTTATATGTGTATAATAAA